GTAAATCAATTTACTCGTCCCTCTCTCCAACAACACCTGTTTCTTCGCCTCTTCCTGTCCCGAAGGAAACTTTTTTCAATAATATCGGTTTAAAAATTTGTTGGCCGAATCAAATGAGAGAATCTGATTTTCCTCAATCACTCTTTACAACTTCCATGTGATCTACTTACTATCAAATTGCTTTAGTTCCATTTTGACTGCAGACAATCCGATACAGAAAACTTCGAAGCAACAAAAGTCTAGTATAATTAAACAAATTTTTTTACTCCGATTTTTCATGTATTTGACAAGCGCGACCCGCTAGCGAACTTTGAAATACAACAAAGAAACGGGCATTTTCTACCACATACAAAACTACCTCTTGAGAGTGCTGCACAAAGGGGTGTGTCGACATCAGCACAAAGACCCTATCACTGGATCAATTGGTTCCCCTTCTACGTCGGTTTTGCCACTAGAGACCCTGAGGTAACTGAGTGACAGATCAGACGAGACGACCCACTTTTTTTTTACAAAAGTATAATTACGTTTTTGAATATCGTTTCGATAGTTCAGTAGAGAAAGAGAGAGAGAGAGAGAGAGAGAGAGAGAGAGGAGAGAGAGAGAGTGAGAGGAGAGTGGAAAGAGAGAGAGAGAGAGAGAGAGAGAGAGAGAGTGAGAGAGAGAGAGAGAGTGTGTGAGAGAGAGGGCAAAGTCAGACGCACACTTAGCATTTGATTGAAGTTTGATTAAGTTTTAATCCTAAAATGTAGTGTGGTGTTTTTTAAAAAATCCAATCTGCAATATATTGTTTCTGTGTTGTTTAACTTTAAAATTATTCATCGTAGGTCAAAAATTGATGCCAAAAATTTATTTTTAAGCTTGTGTGGCGATTATGAGTTACCATCAATACTAGAGTTCTGATAATGAGTTCTTGCATCCGATCAATCATGTAGAAACTCTTTTGTTTTTTGTTTTAAAAAAGAAAATGCAAAACGACTATTCAACCATTTAGCAGTATATTTTATGAAGATGTTTTATTTCCCTTTTCACCTCAATTTTTCACCCAAACGTTAATCCTAACTGTCTTCAAATGTTTCAATCAAAAGTTGGCACTTGTTTCGAGCACAATAGTACTCACAACAGTTCCGGTTTGGTAACAAAAGGATGCCGTAGGTGACTAATTTCATCAGACTGTCGCCAAAAGAACGCTACCGATATGACGTTGCATGTTTCTGTTTCGGTGGCCAACGACTACCTCTGAATTTTTTTCTTTTTTATAGCCTTAGTGCAGAGAGTTTTTGTTTGGATAATTTTCCATCCAGGGACAAAAAAAAATATTCTTTTTGTAGAAAGATATTTATCACTAGTAAAAGTTTATCACTCTCTCGATAAACTTTACTTTCTTCGTTTTAAACACGAAAGATGATGATTCTGAAAATGTTCTTGACGCTTGAAAGATCCAGAATGCTAGAAGTCTTCCTAAGTTTTTATCTTAACTTTTTTAATGCAATGTTGTCATTGTAATAATTTTCTGGTAATTATATTTTTATTAAGTGGAGTTTTTGTTGCAACAAATTATAATCCATTTAAACACAATTCGAACTGAAGAGGAAGTCGTAATAGGTTACTTTTAAATGACTCCTTCAGCGATGAACAAAAAAACGATGGCTCTTTGTGAGTTCTCGAGTTTGCTATCTTCGTAGATTCGTAGTTAGGCTCCTCTGGCTGCATTGAGCATATTTTTATTTACAGTATTCAAAGGAGACGACTCTCATGCTGGAGGGACCGAATTCTGGAAAATTTTCAACCAATCAAAATCGCCAAGTTTCCTATTGGCTAAATGTTTTTCTCACAGAATCGAAATCAATATTAACAGAAACTGTTAATATAATAAAAAAAATAGATGCAGATATAAAAGTTGCAGATATAATAAAATTAGTATTTTGTTTTCCAATTTTTGTAAGTCCATTTGAAATTTGTTCCAATCCGCCTACGATCTGGCATTTTTTTCATTCATCTGCTAATTATCTAAGTGGGCAATATTAACTCTAAATGCCTGGATTTATTTGGTTACCGTGAGATTTTGCAATTTCCTTGAGATTTTTGAATTTTCAATTGTGATTGGGTGAAAATAGGCCAAATTAATTTTCAAGCATTTGGTCCCTCCAGCAAGAGGGACCCCGCCGTATTCAAAAACATTTTTTAAAAACTGGTCCGCTGTTTGGAACGCATCGAATTTTTGTTTTGAAACGCATTGGACCTGATCTGCCTTACAAATGCATGAACAGCGCGGAGGGTTGTCATATCATGAGTATGTTCTTTTTAAAAGTTTTTGTTGTTCGTTTAGCAGAATGAAGAAAAAATTTGCTCGAAAATTTAATATCGTAGAAACAGCCGGTTTCATTTGCTTTTTAAAAAAATTGCAAGTACCAGCAAACAAGTTAATGGGCAATTGTTCTATGCCGCTAAAAAAAACTATGGAACTCATAGTTGGCGTTTTGACGTGCGGAACTGTTCTATGCTGCTAGAGAGGTGATTTCGGCATAATTATCCACTGAAACCTTCATTTCAGATTGAAAAAAAAAACATTTTTTTACTTCGTCACTTTTTCATTAAAGCAAAAGCTGTGCAGAGTTTGACAAAAACAATAACTGCTATAATTATGCTATGCATCAGAAGTACGATTCGATAGTGCTGGTGCTTTCGTTTCCCTTTCAAATTTTCCGTTTAATTTTTATCAATTTAGCTTGAGTATTCTGGAAGCACAAAATTGTGTTTGAATCTACTGGAAATTATTTGAAGTACCCGCTTTGACAATAATTGGATTGCAATCGATTTAACACAGACAATTTAGCAAAAACAAACAAAGAAAGATTGAATTGCATCGAAATAAAATCGATTTAGTTTGATACAAAAATGTAGCTTAAGAAACAATTTCAATCAACTATAAATTGATTTGAATCGGCTTTTGTCCATTTTTTGTAGACTTATTATGAACAGATTTTAAACAAAATATATTCAGATTTTCTCGGTTATCAAAGAATAGAGAAAATTAGAAATAAAATTATACGGTATGCTTTTCATTTGACTTTCGTGTTGATGATGTTTGGCCCGAAAAAACTCTGAGTATAACTTATTCGTGAAGGTTCCACAACAAAAATGAAATGCTGTGAATTGAAATTTTCAGTTACATGTCTTTGGCCCAACATAATTGCGCAGGGAACGCTGATAAAGAAAATGACATTTGGAAAACTTTTGCATAATTTATTTTCATACCACGGGAGCCCTTAGATTTGCAAGCTTCAAAAGGTTAAAAAATTGCTATCTTTACCTCAGATAGAGATTTTAATTGATTTTACTGCCTAGATGAATTTTATTAAGATTAAGCCCATTCTGAATCAGTTTACGTATATAAATGGGCTGTCGTAAATCGATTTTCATCACTATAAGAACTTCTTTAAAAAATCGATTTTAATCGTATTCAACCTCAAGTTAGTCAATGCGAGTTTTCTAAGACTATATCTGCTCACAATTAGATGGAAGATTGGACTTGAAACTTGGGCTTTTAATTGTTAGATTAAATTTTGTGCAGATATCTAAGTAAGAAAAGAATGACTCCATTCTTTCAGACTAAAGATCAAAAATCCTGACTGAAGATTAAATTTTTTAACTGTCAAAATTTTCTCAAATTGCCGATAAAAATAGGAGATAAGGCACCTCATTTTTCAAAATGAATATCGTGCAAATTCAAAAATGTACGCTTATAATGACTGAATTTGCTAATAACTTATTTGTCTCGACTAAATTTCGTATAACTTCAAAGCACAAGGTTTGCTAAAAAACCTCCAAGCCGGAATACTACCTTTTCAACTGTCGTTAATAAGTTTTTAAAATAATTCAACGCAGTTTTTCTGCAGGTACAGACTGTCTTGAAGCAAAAAATGTCATCATGTTTTTTGAACTTTTCAACTCCTATTTATATGTTTTTTTTTGTTTTTCATATACAAAAAGAAGGACCTACAACGATACTCTCTGAAAAAATAACAGCTCAACCGATGCATAGCTGATAGACTTCTGAACATGGTCTGTTTTTGTGATACTGGTGCTTTTTTTTTAAAAATTGCCTAAAAACAATGATATTGTGACTTCATTTTGCAATGCTTGTCTCACAAAATGGTTTTAAATTGTCTCAAAATTTTTTCCAAGCCTAAGATGCCAATATCGGCAGACGTTCTGAAATAAAACAAGACAGCTCCTTTCCAGGCGACACTTTGAATGTTGCAACTGCCTATGGGGTAGTGCCCACTTAGAAAAAAAATTCAAAAAAAAACAAAAAATTATTTTTTGTTTGAAATTTTTCCCCCATATCTTTCTTACGAGGCCAAACTGTGCACTGGATAGGAGCACAATTTTGTGTCTGTATGTTCCTATGTTCTATATAAAGTACAAAATGAGGGATGTTGCAGAGTCCTGAACACAAAAAAGAAACCCTCAAGTCATATTGGAATGTTTCTATGACAGAATAAATCTCCGCTTACGCTTTAATACCACGAATTATATCGTGTGCTAATTGTCTCATTTTTTTTTAAACTTTGAGCTCAGTACAATAATACTTTTTAAAAAATTTAAGACCTTCTGTAATAGATGCTCGTTAAAAAGTTGAAATTTGTCAGGAGAAAACACCCACCCCGAGCACAAACATTCAGTTTTTTCTCCGAAAGTTGGAACAAAAATACATAATCGAGGATGGACGAAAAAACTGTTTCAGGCAAACAATTCAGCTTAAAAAAAACTGCAATTAAAAGGGCAACTTGCTGTCATACAACGAAACTGGGGGTCTTCTCGCTGTATTAATTCTTGTCAATATCTTTTTCATGTTGGTCTTTTTTTCCAATATTTTTCCTCCTTTTTTGCTATATAAGAATGTGCGATGCAGGAAAGGAATCAAAAAAATCTATAGATGAAGAGCAACTGGTTTAAATTGCTTCGGTGACTCTGAACAATAGATTTTTTCACGCTGGATTTACACGTTCAATTCTTTTCAGCAGGACTTAGCATGACACCACAAAATGTACTTTTCAGGTACCAATTTTGACCATCCCGAATTTTATTAAGCTCATTTTGTAGTCATAATTTTGTGACCTTATGGTCATTAGCTAAAAAGAGATGACGCGGACACGAGAGGTGAGTCATGACACAAATAAAAACTATTTGAATTTTTTTAGTTCTAAATTTTTCATATAGTTTTCAAAAAAATAGGTCTGCTCAGGGGCGGATTCAGGGGGGGGGGGGGGGGGGTGGGGGAGCGAACGTTCTCCCCCCCCCTCCCCTCAGGGATTCGACCCCCTGCCGACCCAAAGGGTCCCCCCTTTGATACTTCTTCAGAAATCCATTTTTGGCCGACCAACCCTAAAATTTTTCTAAAGGCGCCTTTGGCGCCAATATATACTAACTTTGAGGGGGAGCGCGCGCCAAAAAAAAACGCAATTTTTTAGTCAATATTTTTCAAAAAGTGCCCAAAAACGGTTTTTTTTACTGTTTTTTCAAAAATTTGCATGCGGCGCAGAAAATTTAGCCAAAATAGGGGCAAAACAGTGCTTTGGGAGAGCTCGAAAAATCAATTTAGTCAACCTAAAAAAAAAGGTCGTCAAAATTTTGGAAAATTTTTTGAAAATCCGCCCCCCCCCCCTCGAGAAAATCCGAGATCCGCCCCTGGGTCTGCTAAACCTCATTTCAAATTACGGTTAAAATGTTAAGAAAGTTATCGCAGTTCAACAACTAGAGTTTTCCAAAGAAAAATTTTGTATATTAAAAAAATACGTATTACTACACTGCACTGCGTCTTTCGAATAGGTTATTGTGATTTTCATTGCGCATACGCTAGAGGCAAGCTTTTTAAAGATAAGTTTTTAAAATGGTTCAATTTATTCTGATAGCTAGAAGTGCTTCGAAAAATTTTAAAATCGTCAGGCAATTAATTCAAAACGATGGAAGTGTAAAACATTACCAATAGACACAGAAGCGTGCCGAGCGGGGGGACCCCCCTCAATTCTGGTTTGCAAGTTTTTATAAAGAATCCCCCCTTTGGTATATTTTACGAGATCCGATTTCTCTGGCCAACATCAAAAAATTTTTAAAAGCGCCTTCGTTGCCAATAAAAGCTTGAGGGGAGAGCGCTCGCTGAAAAAAACGCAATTTATTAGTGAAATATTTTCAAATGTGCCCAAAAAACCACCCCCGCCCTAGCAAAGTTTTCTGCGCACGCCACTGAACAGACAGTATGCAAAACGTCAATAAACTCAAGAAAAACGACAAAAAATGACTGATTTCCTAGCACATTTTAAGGAAAAAATAACATGGCCTTCATATTGAAGTAATTTATTATAAGTATTTTTACCTACTCAATTTGAGACCGATTTTTAAAATTAGGAAACATATCATCACAACCTAACTGTGCGTCTGCATATAGTTTAATTAGATATTTAAAAACTTCGAGTAGTGCACTAATGAACAATTTAAACACAACGGACGTTCTTACTCCAACTGCAATTGATCTGAACTACCCTCTCTGAAATTCTCAACTGTTGATTTGAGGCACTTTAATTTTCATTCCGAGTCTAACATCTCCAGTTTTTACCAAGTGTATAAGAAGTTTTTAAATGCATGAACATTTTCTCTTTGAATGCAAGATGAAATTTTTGAACGAAAATAGTGAAAATTTGTATTTTCAGACCCAAAAAAACTGGTACTTTCAGAGAGGGTAGTTTAGCTCATTTAATGTCGCTCGATGTAAAAGTTTGATAAAATTCTGCGAAAGCGTTGTCCAAAAATGTCCGTCAAGTTAGGCATTGTAGAGTGTAAAAACAAACAATTTAAATTGGCGCTTATTTTGCCCAGTAGTTTACTTCGATCGCAAAAAAGGAGATGTTTCAGGCAATCTTTTTGAAAAAAAAACACTTTGAATTGGTTTTAATTGGTTCTCAAAAGATATTTTTAAAGCAGCTTATTCAAGAAACAAAATCACGAATTTTTTTTGATATTTTGAAAGTGTAGATAGTTAAGCCATAAGCTCAACCAGTTCGACATCTTCAAATAACAGGCCCTCTAGTTGAGCTTAAAGTAGGATCATCAACTCGAGTCGGACTAAACTTAAAGTCGAACGTAAAGTCGAAACATACTGTCAATTACAGAGCTGAAACTTGGAGTTGAGGTAGTCGAAAATTATAGAAGGACACAAAGTCGAAAAATGCAGTCAAATTCAGCCTCGAAACATAAAATTAAACTCAAACTCAAACTCGAAAATTGGTCGAACTCAAAGAGTGGAAATACTGTCAAATCGATTCGTGTGAAAAATAAATTTAACAATAAAGTTTTCTTGGAAAAATTTGAAGCTTTCGTCGGCTTGTTTTATTGAAAAATTTGCTTGGACAACCCAGTCATTGCAACGACTAAAATTTTGAACTGAATGATAAGACAAACATCATAAATCATTCGAGAATTTTTTCTGTAAATGGTGGTAAATTTGTATTCAAATTTGCCGTCTTTGAAACGCTACAGACTGTCTTCAAGCAAAAAAAGGTCATCTTACTATTGTAAATGTTAAACACCTGTTCACGTATTATTTTTTTTCCTAAACTACCACTTTATGATTTCAACAAACAAGTGAACGAATTTCTTGTTCTTGATTGTACCTTTTCTCTGCAACAAATTATAGGTAGGATTGAAGTGTTTACACATGCTTGATGAAACTAATTGCATAGGAAAGCTTTGGACAGGTTGGACGGGTCAAAATTGGAAAAATCTAGTTATGGCAAGTTAAAACAGCCTGTATGTCATAACTAGTTGCAGATGTGTTCTTGTTCTGGAAACGATGGAAAAAAAACTCAAGGAATTTGAGTTCATGAAGCCTATGGAAGACTTATTTATTTGTGAAGATGATGAGCTTGACTTACTGTTTATGCCGCGAAAAAACGACAGACAAAAATTTTGAAAGAAATACTTGACCCGTCGTCGAAAAACGGCTCTAAAATCATGAGTCATTTTGCGGCGATGATTGAAATAACCAAAAAAAAAGAACTGTTCCGGCAAATATTTCTGACAAAATAACTTTTCGATCTCTCCGCAAGATTCTCATTAGCTGTTATGCTTTCTCTAAGTTTTGCTCAATTTTCTGGTATACACTTCTAAGACCGCTCCTTCCGTGTACGTCTTTTGAACCGTTCCTTGCGAAAAAAATTCCAGTACGATCTAAAATAAAATAGGTCTCAAAACATTGAACAAAAATGGGGGAAAAAACGTTTTTCAAAATAAGCATAATGCTGGTGGCAATTTTAGTGACCTTGAGATCCTAAATGACTCAGATGATAGATTGATGTTGGTTTATTCGATTTTTAACTCTGTGTTTTACGATCAAAGCCTAAAAATGGCTCTCGACCTCAAATGAGCTATTATAGCTTAATTAGCCTCGTTTAGACTCCTTGACTAAATATAAAGCTACCATAAAAGTTTTCACGGTCAAGAAAATCGCTGAGTCAATTTTTAGACAAATGTGTAAATGAAAGTTTATTCAGTCCTAAGATTAAATCAAGTCTCAAAAGTTTTTGGGTTTTTATGCTTAAAATTTGTCTCGAAAATTTACAATAAACATTGTACCCTATACAAAATTTTAAACTTGTTGTTCATAGAATGTTCAGAAAATTTAGCGTAGCGCAAATTTCAGATAAATACATGTAGTAAACCGTATGTTTGAGCTAGCTTTGATCAATTATTATTCCGATTGGCATGCGAACTAAGGAAGCCACTGGACCTGTAAGCATATTTGATTGCCTTATTGTTCCGACTTTCGATACGAAAGTAACGGAAAATTTGTGCTCGGGGTGGGTTTTTTCTTCAGACAAATTTCGACTTTTAACTAACCATTTTTGACGGAATTTTTTAAGGTGTTGTTGTCTTGAGCTTAAATTTGAAAAGATATTTCAGCTGTGATCATTTTTTGTAAGGTTATGAAGGTTTAAAATTTGCTATTTTAGCCATTTTGACCAATTTGGGACAATTAACGCGCGATATAATTCGCGCTATTAACGCGTAAGCGGAGATTTAATCCGTCTTATAAATCGTTCCAAATTGGTTGAACGAAGCTTATTTGCCATAAGTGATTTGTTACAGGGAACGAATTCTATCCTTTTGTACTTTATATGGCGTGTGGGGCGATGATTTTAATAAAAAATTTCAAATTTTAGAGAAAAAAAAATTTTCATTTTATTTTGTTTCATTTAATTTTTTAAATGTTATTACTGCTCCATAAACCTTAAAAGGCAGTCGGAACATTCAGGGCTTCGCCCTGATACCAGCAGTCTTGCAGTCTTGTTGTTACGGCTTTCGATACGAAAGTAACGGAATATTTGTGCTCGGGGTGGGTTTTTTTTCTTCAGACAAATTTCGACTTTTAACTAGCCATTTTTGACGGAATTTTTTATATCATTCAAAAGGTATTTTTGTCCTGAGCTTAAATTTGAAAAGATATTTCACCTGTGATCATTTTTGGTAAAATTATGAAGGTTTCAAGATTTCCATTTTAGCCATTTTGACCAATTTGGGACAATTAACGCGCGATATAATTCGCGCTATTAACGCGTAAGCGGAGATTTAATCCGTCTTATAAATCGTTCCAAATTGGTTGAACGAAGCTTATTTGCCATAAGTGATTTGTTACAGGGAACGAATTCTATCCTTTTGTACTTTATATGGCGTGTGGGGCGATGATTTTAATAAAAAATTTCAAATTTTAGAGAAAAAAAAATTTTCATTTTATTTTGTTTCATTTAATTTTTTAAATGTTATTACTGCTCCATAAACCTTAAAAGGCAGTCGGAACATTCAGGGCTTCGCCCTGATACCAGCAGTCTTGCAGTCTTGTTGTTACGGCTTTCGATACGAAAGTAACGGAATATTTGTGCTCGGGGTGGGTTTTTTTTCTTCAGACAAATTTCGACTTTTAACTAGCCATTTTTGACGGATTTTTTTTATATCATTCAAAAAGTATTGCTGTCCTGAGCTTAATATAGAAAAGATATTTTCGTAAAGTTATGAGAGTTTAAAATTTGCCATTTTGGCCATTTTGACCAATTTGGGACAATTAACGCGCGATATAATTCGCGCTATTAATGCATGAGCGGAGATTGAATCTGTCTAATAAATCTTTCAAAATTAGTTGAAGGAGGTTATTTGCCATAATTGATTTGTTACAAGGAACGAAATTTTTATATGGCGTGTGGGGGGATGATTTTCATAAAAAACTTCAAATTTTAGAAAAAAAAATTCATTTTATTTTATTTCATTTAATTTCTTTATGTTTCTACTGCTGCTCCATAAACTTTAAAAGGCAGTCGGAACATTCAGTGCTTCGCTTTGATGCGAGCAGTTTTGTATAACTTTTAAAAACCACTCGTTACATCATAAAAACCATGAAGCTAATTAGAGACTGGGAAGTTATAGGAAAAAAAGTTAGTTAGAGAAAATTTTGCTTAAAGTAAATAAACTTTTGTTTTATTCTTTTCAGCTCGAAACTTTGAATAAAGTTACAAAAGAAATGATTGAAACCCTGTCAAACGTGCGGAATCGAAAATCGGAAAAAGAGACAAATATAATAAACAGCTCCGAAACTCTGAGGACACTGGGTGTTAAGCTGTCTCGCATTTCGAATGACCTCACCACTGAAATATATGGATCTACTAAGAACAAGCAACTGCAGCGGAGAGCAACAGTAAGATTTTTTTTGCTTTCTTTAAAATTTTTTTTAGCTTTCCAGTACGAAAAGCGATAAAAACGAGTTCAAGTTAAATTTTTTACGATTACAGAAAAAAAAATGGAAAAAAAAACATCTTTACTTATATTAAACTATGACATATTTTTGTGCTAAATCGCAAATGAATTTCAGAGAGAACGTTTGTAGCCAATGCACTCGAATTTGAGCAGCGCAGTTGAGCTTCTGAAGTTGGAGAAGCTATTAAATTAAGTAAACGGCCGAAAAAAAGAAGACCCGCACTGGAGTTTTATGAATCATAATCGATTATAATAAGTCTTCAGTCTCAACAAAAATCAAAAATAATTGACTATAATTCAAAAAATGATTAAAAATTTTTACGCCGCATCATAAAAACCATTTTCATCAATTGTAATCGACTGTAATGGATTATCAAATTTTCTTTCTAAAATTTATCTGAATTTTTCAAACATAGTGCAATGTTTGTAAAAATTACAGTTACTTTTGACTTAATTTACGTTTATTTAGAAGAAAAAAACGAAAATCCTTTCTTTGATTGAGAAAAATTTTATCTTGTTTTCAATTTTTCCCTTAACCTACTTTTCGTATAATTTTTGTTTAGTTTCCCAAGTTACCGAGTTAGGACCGATGTGGTTAACTCATAGAGTAATTTCGGATAGGGTACACCGTCTGCTCGTCACGCTATCTTATTTTCGGCCGGATAGATTCGTGCAACTTCTTAGTCTAATACCGATCCTAATCTTACTCTTATATTATCTAGTCTCAGGTTCTTTAACTAGTCTCTGCTAATACTGGTTTATTGCGGCTGCTGAAGTTCTCTTGGAGAGGCAACTAATTTCTAAGTTAAATTCAAATCTCTCTGGTGCTGAAATTACAAGTAATTTCAGCACTTACAAATAAGTGGGTTGTTAGTTAGATGGATCATGATTGGTTAATATTAAATACTTTACAGTGGTAAAATATCTAATTTATCCAATCATAAAATATAGTTTAGATCAGGTTCCACCCATCCGGGTTTTACAGAGTTTTTTAGAATTGTCTTTCTGCAATTCAAAGGATGGATGATGGACGTTGGTATTTGGCGAACATCATATTCTTATCCGGTTTCTCTTGTTAGAGAAGTTCCAGGACGCTGGAATGATGGATATCAATCGTTGTGTTTTTTCGTGACAACGATTGTGTTTCCCAACGAAATCAATCTGATTTCAGAATGGTTTGCTATGACGGGTTTTTCTGTTTTATGTAGAGAACTTCTTTTGTGTTCGACGTCGTCTGGGAATGGCGTGGAGATTGTGCGTGGAGGGGATGCCTTGTTACTCGGATCTGTACGTATACTTGAACATCGAGGTGGTCATTGGTCTAGTTCAATGAAGTCCTTTTCAGCGAAGTCAAGTCGTACTCTAAATCCTTTGAGTTGTGATTGTGGACGTCATATTGGTTGTGGTTGGCCATTCTTTTTCGAGTTTAGTGGGGTCATTTTGTCTTTGGATGTTCGTCTTTGTTGTTGTATTCTGATCTATATACTGCAAGGTATAATTTTTATTCGTTCAGTTTTTTAATTATTATTTTAGTTAGTTGTTTTCATAAAAGCATTTTGTTTTAGTTCGGTTATTTTGAAGAGTTACTCACCCTTGAGTACCTCTTATTAAAAATAGAAGTGTGGTCACAAAGCGTGTATGTAGCGCGGTGGGTTAGGCCGGCTATAGAGCATGCTCAGGACGTCCTCTCTGGTGGGTTAGGCCAGGAGTGGGAGTATGATTTCGTGCGGTTTCTGTGAGAGGTCCTGTTATGTGATAACGTTTTATGTCGGGTTTGTGGTGGTTTTTCTTATGTTTCGTTGGTTGTGTCCTTTTTTCAAAAATCAAATTGTTTTTGGTATGGGTTTGTCTTTCGACTTTTTTGTGTTTTATTATTTCTTTCTTAGACTTTATAATAGTCTTCAAAAGATCAAATTATCCAGTTTTAAACTGGGTTAATCCGGTTTGGGTACCGTTGGTTTTCTTTTCTTAGTCATGCTGTTATTCTATGATTTGTGGTGTTTAGTAAGCTGCGTTGGTTAGTTTTGCTTAGTATATAATTCCTTTCCAACCGGGTTAAAGGAAAGTTTGAAACTTGTTATCGTGTGTTAGAGTTATTGAGTGTGAAAACTTGAAACTGAATTTCATTATTTAAACAATTCTTCGTGGGCGAGCTGTGCGAGTTTGGATAGAATTCTTGTGCGAGTGAATGAAAATATCAAAAGGTTAGTACTGCATTTTCGTTTTATTAATTTACTACATAGAATTTTAATTTTACTGCTAGTTTTTGGGAAAAATTAAATTACAAATTTTCATTTTTTTTGAAATTTACTGCTTTTGGGGAAACAATTTATAAGTCAATTTACTACATTTGGTATAAATTTGATCAGTTTATCTTGTGGAAAATATTAGTGAAGTGAAGAATCTAACAAGTTTATTTTTTATTTTGCTTTTTTGTTTCTTCAGATGATCCTGGTATGAAGGCTAAAGATTTAAATGAAACATGAGTAAAGAATGGTTAGTATTTATTTTAAATTTATTAGTGAAATATATATGTAAATTATACTTACTTGTTAGTCGTCGGGGAAAAAATCGTGGGGGGAGATGTCGTGTATTATGTCGGAGTTTGTTAGTAATTTTGCTAGTATGCGAATGATGTTTTTAGTTTGAAGCTGTGGCCAAAGCAATTGAAGTGCTTTAATAGTTTTTAGTTCTTCAGTGCCAACTGCAAACTCATAAGGTGTGTTTTGAATGAGATTATATAATTTGTGATTGTATTTAGTGTTGTGGATGATTTCTAATATTGGGATTTCTATAGGTTGGATAAATTCATGTGGGATAAGGAAGGGTCTGGATTCTTCTGCGTTAAAGGTCTTCGTGATGGGACAAAATATATAAATTTGGGTTATGGGATCATAATTGCGGAGGATACCGTGAAGGTTAGTATCCAGGTTAGAAAAAATGGTGAAGTGTATTTAGAGTTAAGAAACTGAAAACGGTGGTGTGGTTGTCTTGATGGAGTGTGTAGATCAAAATGATTTTGTATGAAGCGATAATATGTATATGTGTGGGTTTGTTTAGTGCGTTACATAATGTCGTTTGAGCAGTGCAAATCGCGTTCATGTGGTGCAAGGAAGTCGAAGGTTAGTGAAAATAATTGAAATTTTTCTTTAAAACTTTCGTAAGCTTGCATGTCGGTTAGTGCTTCAGAAATGATGTGATCAAATTTTCGATCAAATATATTGAGTGTAAATACATATGGTGTTTTGATGAAGAATTTTTCTGTTAGTTGTGGGTTAGCGAAGCGATCATCATTTAAAAATTGGTCTTGGTTAGTTCGGATGATGTTATGATCGTAATATTCTAGCGTAAATTCGTTAGCGCGGGGTGCAGTGAATGTTTTTAGTGATTTTTTATATCCTATATAAGTAAATTGTCTATGTGTTAGTGGTGTGGTGAGTCGATATAGCATATCTTGATTTCTTTCTATATCGTTATGAGTATTAGATAATGGTAGGCAAAGGGGATTAGTAAAATGATAATATGGTGTCCAATGAAGTGTAGGCATTAAAACATGTTCATCTACAAAACTACGTGTGTCGTTAGTGTCATGAGGGGTGTTTAAGGTATATTGTGGAAAAGAAGGTAAGGTGATTGCTAGAAAATCTTTCGTGTTAGTGTGATGTGGATGATTAATATATTCACGGCTGTTCCTGGTTTGGTTGGGAATGGATGGTTTGTGAATTTTCTTTTAAAAGTGCGATAAGCTCTCTTAGTGATATTTGATGATTCGGTGGAAGTGGATGATTGTGCTAATGATGCAGAATAAGCTGAAGAGGGTGTAGGGGTAGGTGGGTTTGAGGATTCTATTGTGGAAGAAATCTGATTCATAGTGGGGGTGTTAAGTTGTAATGGTTGTTGTTGTAGGGTGATAAAATTATCTAGTTCTTGGGAGATTTGGGGAATATCTGGAGAATTGGATGATCGGTCTGAATGAAATGAAGAGTAGGTTGGGGGTGACTTGTGAAGCATAAGAGGGTGTAGAAATGGATGGGAGTGGGTTATTTGGTGGGATTGGTTGAAAAGGAGGTTTTGAAAAAATTGAGGGGTTGGTTTGAAAATTATTGGATGGAGATGGTTCAGAGTCTGCAAATGCATCAGGGGTTTCAATATTAGGGTTATTGATTTGTGAAATGGAGTATAAAACTGAAATATTTGAATTAGTGTCTGAATTCATGCCTGATGTTATATTACTAGTTGGGAAATCGGGTGGCGGGAAAGCAAAAAGTGGAATTATTGTAATTGGAGTGTTGAGGTTGGTTGGATGGGAATTTGAGCAGTGTAGGGATCCAAGTTGTCGGCTCATTGTGGGCTAAAAAAATTATTATTTAGAGACTGAAAAGCGGTGGTATGGGGTTGTTCGATAATTTGTTTATATGTATTTTCATCTTGTGAATGATGTGTCATTATATGTTGTATGGGACTTTGCGATATGTTTGGTCTAAAATTTGGATTATGTGTTATTGCTAAATTTCGAAAATTTCGTGGGACTAGAGATAATGGATGGTTATGTGGTAGGGGTGGTAACTGTGGTGCTGTAGGCGTTACCTCTATATTATTATGTTCTTCGTCGTACGTGTTCTGTCTTGTCGCTATTTTTGAATTGTATTCTTTTATTTGTGCGTCTAAAAGAATTTTGTTTATTGATGATGAAAAAATTCCAAAAAATCCTGCAAATAGTATGCGTGCTACACTTGCTTGTCTATTTACTTGTGTGTGTATAGCGCATGTATTATATATTCCTTTTAAAAGTGAAAAAAGAAATCCTATAAAGTTAAACATTGCGTATAAAATAGTCATTTTTTCTAAGATGTAATAGGGCCATCCTAAAAAATCAAGAATTTCATTGTTTAGTGTAACAAAGCTAAAAATATTTATAGGTGAGATATCTTGTGGTCGGTA